TGACAGTGGTAGCCAGGCACCATCTAGTTCTTCTGGTCTAATACTCGTATAGGCTGAGAATCACATGGTGTACCAATCGCTTGGATTAATCGTTTCCATGTGTCTTTGGTTTTCTTCATTCTTCTTTGTTTGGGATGAGGAGAGACCCATCGTTGCACCTAGATAGCCATTTGCAAGCTTTTGAGATCCCACTTGCTACTCACCAAGGTAGAATGTGGAACAATGTTTTTTGTGTAGTAGGTTATGAAGGCAGCAAATCATTATGGAAGCAGACCACCATGTCTTTCTCCTGTGGAGCAGCTGATGGGTTCAAACCCCCAACCTTTCAGTTAGCAACCTTTTGGTTAACCACTGCCCCACACATGGCTCCTTGGTACTTTTAATAATTCCTGTCATGTGCTCTGCTCTGTCTTTCTCTCCCCCATGTGCACACTCTCTCTTCTTTGTCTCCTTCAAAAAAGAGATCGGCATGTTTTAAAGAGTTTTTAGAATCATGTTTGATCCCAACTGAGACTTCCTCCTTGATTTAACGGTGGGAACTGAAAGAGACTTGAAAGGGTATAACTTCACCTTGTGAGTAAATTCCATCTCAGACTGTGTCTCATACTTAAACCAAGAAAACCAAACTCACTGCCACCAAGTCAATTCCAACTCATAGTGACCCCCATTGGGTTTGCAAGGTGGTAATGTTTACGGAAGTAGATTGTCCAGTCTTCCTTCCACAGAGTGGCTGGTGGGTTTGAACCACCAACCTTCTAGTTGGCAGTCAAATGCCTTAGTATGCCACCGGAGCTCTTTGTCTCGTACCTAGTCATCTCACTTATGGACTGTTGAGGCACCTCCTGCATTTTAGAAAACAGAGTTGATTTGGGCTATTGTGTCAGAAAGTTGTACAAACTCCTTTATGTGTTTCTGATGTGTTCTTCACACTGGCACTGTGAAATTATGACATCGGTCCGTTATAGGACCTCATCCCGGAAACTGCAGAGCCATCACTTAACCTGGTGGTGTAGTGCCTAAGGCATTTGACTGCTAACCAGAAGGCTGGCAGTTCAAACCCACCAGCCACTCCTCGGAAGGAAGGTTGGCCAATCTACTTCTGTAGAGATACTGCCTCAGAAACCAAAGAAGGGGTCTCTATGAGTTGGAATCGACTTGCCAGCAGTGAGTTACTGACTAGATGCTGCCATCTTTCTTTTACCCACCAGCCTTATCTGAGCCTCTCTCCTCAGGTGCTTGGGTGTACCCTACTAGTCCTGTGTACCTCCAACGTGGCTGTCTCACTTTGGAAAATCCAGCAGGGAATACCACAGGCCCCAGAATTCCTGATTCACCCTACTGTGTGGCTCACCACAATGGTAAAGCCATCCTGAGTCTGGACCTTGGCTTTCCCAAGCTGCTGCCTTCCCAGCCCTGGTGGAGGGTGAGGGAGAGGGTGGAGCTGAGCTCCCTCCCCAGCCCTTGCCTTAAGGGGCCCTTCCTGACTCTCTTATCTAGAGTTTTGCCCTGTTCATTATCCATGTGGAGAGGAAGAAGGGAGTCCAGGCTTCTGGGGTGCTATTCGGGTATTGGCTGCTCTGCTGCTTCTTGCCAGCCACCAGCAGTGCCCAGCAGGCCTCACAAGGGGTAAGTGGAGGCCTGGGCCACCTGGGGAAGCTACTATGTGGTTTCAGGCCTTGGGCCCATCTTTTCTCCTTTTCTTTGCACACACAACTTATTCTCTACACAGACCTACACACACACACACTGCACTCACTTACACTCTAGAGGCCCACAAATTGACTCCCTCACACACAGTGTGTACTGTAATTAATCAGCGTTCTCCAAAGAAACAGAACCAACAGGAGGTATATATAAAACCAAAGGGCAAATCAATTGCCCACAGGTTGATGCCAATTCATGGCTACCCCATGTGTTTCAGAGTAGGACTGTTCTCCATAGGGTGTTCATTGGTTGTGACCTTTCAAAAGTAGGTACACCAGGCCTTTCTTCCAAGGGACCTGTGCCTGTGATTGCATTTGAACTGATAACCTTTTGGTTGTATAACTATTTACACCACACAGGGACTCTGTGTGTGTGTGTGTGTGTGTGTGTGTGTGGTGCTCTGGTGGCACAGTTAAGGCACTCAGCTGCTAAACAGAAGGTCAGTAATTTGAACCCCTCAGCCACTCCACAGGAGAAAAATGAGGCAGTCTGCTTTCATAAGGATTTATAGTCTCAGAAACTGTATAGGGCAGTTCTTCTGTGTCCTACAAGGTTGGTATGAGTCAGGTTTTGTGTGTGTGTGTGTGTGTGTGCACACAGAGAAAAGGGAAAGAGAGAGAGGGAGAATGAGAGAGAAAGAGATTTTAAAGAATTGGCTCATGCAATCTTGGGGGCTGACAAATCCAAAGTCTGTAGACCAGGTGGTAGGCTTAAACCTCCAGCAAAATGTTTGCATTATAGTTTTGAGGCAGAAGTCTTCTCCCTTCAGGAAACCTTAGTTTTTGTGCTTAAGGCCTTCAGCTAACTGGATGAGCCTCGCACACATATGGAAGGTGATCCACTTAAAGTCAACTGACTGTAAATGTTAATCATATCTTCTCACAGCAACATCTAGACTAGCATATGATCAGACAACCAAACCCCAGAGCCTAGCCAAGTGGACACATAAAATTAACCATCACAAGTGCCCATCACCCACACACACATTTTTTATCTATATAAATGCCCATTGTCTTACATACTCACATCACACACTTCACTTGCATACCAGACACATACTTCCATGCCTTCATTCATGCACCACACAAGCACAGACTCCTACACAATGGTTTTGAGGGGATTTATTTGCCCATGCTTGTGGGACCTCCAAGGGGAATTCAGGCACAGCCAGATATGAGTGCTCAAATGGCACCATTATATTGCTGTTACTCTCTGTATGTCAGCTCTGATTTCTCTATGTTAGCATCATTCACTAGTGAGGTGGCAAGAAGATTGAAGTTCTACTGATGTAGCAAAGCCAGAAGCAAGATCTCCTGATGGTTCCTGCTGTTATCGGTCAAGTTGATGTCTTATGTCCATTCCTAAACCAATGATTGCCAGGGATCTGGAATATACTCATGGGCCAAGCCTTGGTCATCTGCTTCCCCTTGAAGTGGTCTGTTCCCCATGAGCCACATGCCTGAGCAAGGGGAGAGAAAATTAGGTGCTATAACGAGACAAAGGGGCAGTGATGCCAGGCAGGCTAAAGCAACTGTGAGTAACAGAAGCTCATGATTTGGGTCATATAGTCTGTGTGTCCTTAAGCAAGGTGCTACTGCTTCTCTGAGCCTTGGTTTCCCCATTAGTAAAACAGAGCAGTAAACCCCAGCTGGGTCCAGGGGACTGGGAGGGACTTGATGGGACATTGCATATAAGGGCCCTTAGATGTGCTCAAGGCAGAATCATTGCTCAATCAGATTAGTCCCCTTCCCTATAAACCAGAAAATATTGGCCACACAGATGCTGGGATGGATGACTGGGGTGGGGCCTGAAGTGGAATAAGGTTTCCCTTCATGATACAAGAAGAAAGGTGAAGTGTCCCTTCAACTGATGTCTAAGGGGCTGTGGGCGAATCCCAGACATGGCTCTGGCTCCCCGTTTGTATGGACAAAATGTGTGTAAGTCAGGTGTTTGTGAATCTGGACTCCCAGGAATGCTGGGAGACTGGTTTCTAAAGCCCATGACCCTGCCTTGGTAGCATTCCCATCTGTAGAAACCCTCTTCAGCCTCAACCTTTTCTCCCTTTACGGGCACCCTCTCCAACCTGTGCTACTTACGAGCCCCAGTGGGCTGCTGCTACCTGCCAAGACTCAGTGGGAAAGTCTCCTTTCTCTCCCACAGGGCTTCCAGAGTGACCCTTTCCACCATCTGTCGACCTATCTGTGTTTGGCTCTAGTTGTGGCGCAGTTTGTGCTGTCCTGCCTGGCGGATCAACCCCCCTTATTTCCTGAAGAACCCCAGCAGTCTGTAAGTAACCAGGTCGCCATCCCCGTACCTCCCTTTCCCCTGCTCCAATTCAGATCTCTTGTCTCCCCATGTGACCTAAAAGAACATTGATTTTGAATTTGTAATTCACTCAGCAATGGGTATTGAATGTCTATTTTATGCCAGAGGTTGGTCAACTTTTTCTGTACAGAGCTAGATAGCAAATATTTTAGGTTTTGCAGGCCACACAATCTCTGTCGCAAGTGCTCAACTCTGCTGTAGTAGCACAAAAGTAGCCTTAAGCAATACTTAAAAAAATAAGTGTGGCTGTGTTCCAATGAAACTTTATTTGCAGAAACAGGCCACATTTGGCCCATGAGCTGTATTTTGCTGACCTCTGCTCCATGCCACAGGTAGGTGCTGAGGAATCTATGGTGACCAAGCAGATAGTCCCTGCCTTCATGCACCTGACAATCTAGTTACACAGTTACACAACTCTATGGCTCTGGTGACATAGTGCCTAAGGCATTTGACTGCTAACCAGAAGGCTGGCAGTTCAAACCCACCAGCCACTCCTCAGAAGGAAGGTTGGGCAATCTACTTCCATAGTGATACTGCCTCGGAAACCAAGGAGGGGTTGCTATGAGTCGAAATCGACTCAATGGCAGTAAGTTTGGTTTGATTTTATGGAAAATTACAACTGGAATAAGTGCTCTGAAGAAGTTCACGGTCCTTGAGAATGAACAACAGGTAACCCTGAACTAGATTGAGACATTAGGAAAGACTTTCTGAGGAAGATACAGTTGATCAGAGATCATATAAAAAGATGTTCAGCTGCTCAAGTAATCAAAACTATAATGGAGCATTTCTTTAATTATTATTTTGCCTATCAGAATGGCAAACAATTTTAAAAATTGGTAACAGGCTATGATGGCAGAGATGTGAAGTGGCCAGTTGAAGAGTGGAAATGGTGCAGCCTCTATAGAATGCTGGCAGAATCGCAGGACAGGCCCCTTCTTACCTCCTCAACACAGTCACTGTGGGATGTAGTTGATGGCATTGTTGTCTGTGTTACATGTAGTCCTTGCTTGGAGAACATCTTAGTCTCAGTATCAGCAATAGTTGTTTTCAGTACTTGCTAGTTCTGACCCGTGGACACTGTCAGTCTTGTGGCCCAATGTCTTTTTTGCTCTGCATCAGGCCCATTGTGTCTGCTTCAGGATACCTCCTTGCATGTTTTTGATAAGCTCATGACCAGCACATCCTGTTTTCCTACCTTTGGTTCCCCTTGCCACGTACTCACCTTGGAATGTGAGACCCAGGCTTCCTCAGCCCCATCTTTTGTCTTTTCCAGAATCCATGTCCAGAGGCTGGGGCCTCCTTCCCTTCCAAGGCCATGTTCTGGTGGGTTTCTGGGTAAGTATAATGGCAGGGCAAGGGCTGGGATGGTGCCCCCACCCACCTGCGCCTGCTGCTCTCCTTTCTCACCACAGCTCTCCCCATCTCCCCCAAGGTTTCCCCCATGCCGACCAAGTCCGGCCAGGCTTTCATCCATCCATCTTCACTTAACCTCTGAGCCTGTTTTTTCCCTAATCTGTAAAATGGGTCAAACATAATTTTAAATAATTTAGGTTCACATGTGAATAAAATAAGATGATTTGGATAAACTGAAACTAAAACCAAGTCTGTTGCTATTGAGTCAATTCCAACTCATAGAGACCCTGCAGAACGGAATAGAACTGCCCTGTTAGGGTTTCCAAGGCTGCTTTGATGGTGTAGTGGTTAAGGCATTTGGCTGCTAACCAGAAGGTCAGTGGTTCAAGCCCACCAGCTGCTCCACAGAAGAAAGATGAGGTAGTATGCTTTCATAAAGATTTGTTGTTGTTGTTGTTATTTGCCGTTGAGTCGGCCCCGACTCATAGCGACCCCTCCTTGGGTTTCCGAGGCAGTATCACTACGGAAGTAGGATTGCCCAGCCTTCCTTCCGAGGAGTGGCTAGTGGGTTTGAACCGCCAGCCTTCTGGTTAGCAGTCAAGTACCTTAGGCACTATGCTACCAGAGCTCCCTCATAAAGATTTAGAGCCTTGGAAAACCAGTGGGAGTCACTTTGAGTTGGGATCAACTCAGTGGCAGTTGGTTTGGAATCATTATGAAAGCAGACTGCCACACCTTTCTCCCACAGAGTGACTCATGGGTTCAAACCATTCAGACCTTTCAACTAGTAGCTGAGCACTTGATCACTGCACCCTGGGGCTCCTTGTAAACTGAGAAGTGTCTTGCAAATGTTAGGTGCAGTTGATAGTTTTTATTCTACCTAGGGGCTAGTGGAGGTGCAGAGAGGAAAAGTGACTATCCCAGGGTCACACAGTTTCCCAGCAGGCGGAGCTTTCCCTGGTGACCTTCTTTTGCAGGCTGGTCTGGAGGGGCTACAGGAAGCCACTGACACCAAAAGACCTCTGGTCGCTTGGAAAAGAAAACTCCTCAGAGGAACTTGTTTCTCAGCTCGAAAGGGAATGGATGAGGAAGCGGGCAAGGTGAGTGTGTGGAGGTCAAGAGCTCAGCCGGATGCTGAAGCTCATCATTTGGCCCCAAATACAACCCCTGACCCTGCTCTGGGCACCACCTCCCCACTCCGCTGCCTGCCAGCTGATTCCACTAAGCAGTAACTGATCAGGCTCAAGGCAAAGCTCCTCTTAGAGTGCTTTGCATGTTCCAAAAGGAGCCTGACAAATGGACAGGGCTTTGAGGCCCCAGAAGGAAACAATAATTAATACTGAAATGGCAGGAGGAGACAGAAGGGGTATTTTAAGATGAGAGGTGGAGAAGGATGGCAGCCTGTAACATACAGGCAACTACTCACTTATTGAACCTTAGTAATTAGCGTCCTGGACCTCAGTTTCCTCATCTGTTCAGTGGGGATGTCATTAGCCCCTAGCTCATAGCTTGTGGGGAGTGAAAAAAATGATTCATAGAGAAGGACTTAGTGAATTGCTGGAAAATGGCAAGAGCTCAAGTGTCCTAGTGATGCAGAGGTGTCCAAGCTCCCTCTACTGCTGTCTACACTGCCTTGTTCTTGTGGTGGTTGTATTATTTTAGCTTTTGTTTTACTACCACTTTTATTAGGAGCTCTGGTAGCATAGTGCCTAAGGCACTTGACTGATAACCAGAAGGCTGGCGGTTCAAACCCACCAGCCCTCCTCAGAAGGAAGATGGGGCAATCTACTTCCATAGTGATGTTGTTGTTGTTGTTGTTGTTGTTTGCCGTCGAGTCAGCCCTGACTCATAGCGACCCCTCCTTGGGTTTCCGAGGCAGTATCACTACGGAAGTAGGATTGCCCAACCTTCCTTCTGAGGAGTGGCTGGTGGGTTTGAACTCATAGCGACCCCTCCTTGGGTTTCCGAGTCAGTATCACTACGGAAGTAGGATTGCCCAACCTTCCTTCCGAGGAGTGGCTGGTGGGTTTGAACCACCAGCCTTCTGGTTAGCAGTCAAGTGCCTTAGGCACTATGCTACCAGAGCTCCAAAGTGATACTGCCTCGGAAACCCAAGGAGGGTTGCCATGAGTCAGGTCTGACTCAACAGCACATAACAACAACTGCTTTTTTTTTTTTTAATTTTAAAAGATGGTTTTATTTCTTTTTTTTTTAGGATTTGGGTGAAGATTTACAGAGTAAATTCACTTTTCATACAGCAGTTCACATATACTTTGTCTCATGTCATTGACCAAAATTTACAATGCAGCAGCTCCCCTCCTACTTCCTCCCCATAGTTACCTCCTCCCAGTGTCCATCCCTTCATACTCTTCTGCACCCTGAGCTATCTCCCTGTGCATAAGCAGCCCTTCCTTCTCCCATGATTGTTCTCTTCAGGGCGTGTGTCTACTTGAGATAAATGTTTAACTCACATGCCTGTACTTTGTTTGGCTGGAAACCACAGTTGTGGGTTCAATTCCAGACCTGAAGGGCAGCTAGGGGCCATAGTCTCAGTGGTTACACCAGGCTCTATTGGACCAGCAAACCTGGTCCCCACCTTCTTCTTTTTTTTTTTTTTTTTGCCTCCAAATGATTTTGAGTTTTGTTCCACATTGTTCTCCCTCTTTATGCAGGATCTCCTACATCCCTTCCAAGTGGATGGCAGTGGTAGCTGGGCACCATCTAGTTCTTCTGGTCTCATAGTTGTATAGGTTGCAGATTGGATGGTGTACCAGTCGCTAGGACTGATTGTTTCCATTAATTTTGGTTTTCTTCTTTCTTCTTGACGAGGAGAGACCCATTGTTGCATCTAGATGGCAGCTTCCTAGCTTTTAAGGTCCCAGTCGCTACTCGCCAAAGTAGTAGGTGGAACAATGTTTTGTATAGTTTGTTATGCCAATTGAGCTTGATGTCCCCTGCGACTATGGTCCCAAGCCCGCAGGATCAACTACTCGGTCCCTCTGGGTAGCTGGCTGTTGACCAAGCAATAACCATACCTTGCCCCTTGTCAGCTCTACTATACACCTGGGAATTCTGATCATTCACATGAACTTATAGGCCCATTGTCTGCCAACCCTATATATGATCTTGGATACACTCTCCATTTAGACATACCTAATTGTTTAGCTACAACAACTGCTTTTATTGATTATATAATTTCATTTCCTTTTTAAAATAATATTTTATTTATTTTTGGTGACAGTATGCACAACCAAACACACACCATTCACAGTTTCTACATGCACTGTTCAGTGACATTGGTTACATACTTCACACGTGTCACCATTCTCACTATATCATCCCATATGCTTTCATTACCATTAATTGAGGCTCTCTGCTCCTTGAAGTTCTTATCTATGCTTTGGATTAATGGTTGTCAGTTAACACTCATGTAGCTAATTCTTAATAAGAGTGATATACTCAAGGCAAACATCCTTCATTGATTGGGCTAAACTACAGTCTAACAATGGCTTCATAGGATAGTTTTGGTTCAAGGTTTAAAGATTATTTCCAGGCATTAGATTGAGGGTTTCCACCAGTTTCCATGGATCCACAAATCTGATTTCCATATGAGTTTGAACTTCTGTTCCATGTATTTTCTCTTTTTGATCAGGATCCACCTATTGGATGCTTCGTCAAAATGTTCAGTACCAGTAGTGAGGCATCACCCATTTCTTCTGGTCTCATAGTAATGGGGCTAAGAGTCTATGGAGGCAATTAAACCTGTGGTCCATTTCCTACTCCGATTCCTGGATCTCCTTCTTCTCTGTTCTAGGCAAATAGAAACCAATTATTGTATCGTGGGTGGCTGCTCACAAGCTTTTAAGACCCCAGCTGCTACCCACCAAACTAGGAGGTAGAGCAGAATCCGTCTCACTTTTGCCTTCTGTGGCATCTGTGGTAAATTCTACGTATCCATCAGAGTCTGAGGAACCTAGTTTGAGAACCACCAGTCTAGAGAAATGAGCCTTCAATGTAAATTAGATAAGCCCAGGTTGAATACTACCTTGACATTGAATAGAGAATGATCTTGGGTAAGTCGTCTGACCTCACTGGACCTCGGTATTTCAGGGGACAGAACAAACATCATGTACGTCTGTTGGAAGAGTCATAAGGTTCTCCTGCACATATTAGGATTTTGCTGTGCTTGCTGCAGATGGCTGAATCTCACAACTTAGATGAAGCAAGAGAGCATCAACCTAATGGCTTACATAACTGAGAAGGTGACTCTAGCCTCAGGCATGGCTGGATCCAGGATAATGTCCCTGCATCTTTCTGGTAGCATAGTATCTAAGGCACTTGACTGCTAACCAGAAGGCTTGGGGTTCAAACCCACTAGCCACTCCTCGGAAGGAAGGTTGGGCAATCTACTTCCGTACTGATACTGCCTCGGATACCCAAGGAGGGGTTGCTATGAGTCGGGTCCAACTCGACGGCATATAACAACAACACAACAACACTATCTGGGTATTGGTCTCTCCAGAACAGTTGTCCCATACCTGCCAGTTCTGCAACTCCAGAGGAAAGAGAGAGCCTTTCTCTCCTAGAATCTATAGAGAAAAGTCCAAGGACGGTCTGTGATTGGCCTGGCTTGAGTCTTGTGCATATCAGGAGCCAATCCCATGGCTAGAGGGAGAGGAGCGAGTCCCATGATTGGTGAACCACATGGGGAAGGAGAGGGGCTGCTCCCCAAAGGAAGGGAGTGCTATTTTCACAAGTGGGGAAGTGATGTCAACAAACCAAAACAGCAGCTTTCCTTTCACTGCAGGCATATCCTGCCACATTGTCTACACTTCAGTGATTTGACAGAAGTGGCAGAATGAATTCCAAAGGGTCTAGGAAGTCTAGCCCACTGTCTGCCAGCTCTTGGCTTCTCCAGCCAGTGAGAGAGTTATAAGCATCTAACACTGGAGCAAGCAGATAATAACATTCTCCAGCATAGTTGGAGAAGACTTCCATAAACGGTTGACAGGAAGAAAGGGTTTCCCTTTCTTTCCTTTTCTTTTTCCCAACGTTAGGCAAAGACCCAGTTTAATCATTTTCTGAGCTGATGGATTACATACAGAGAGGACTTTGGTTTTGTGTCTGAAATATTTTGCAACCATTGAGGGAAGGGAGAGGATGGCATTGAGGAAGGGAGAGAAGTCACAAACCAGCCACCTGCTGGCCAGATCATGGTTTACAAGATAAGTTTTGTTGTTTTGGGTTGTTCTGTGTTTCAGTAAGTTGCCACCATTTAAAACGTTGGAAAGTTCACATATGAAAAATTACGACTTCTGACTTTAAATAGATCTAGCAGCACCGGCCCACATCCCAGCAAGGCAACAGGAGGTGGGATCTGAGTAGAGGCTGCCCATTGGGAAGGGTGTGTAATCTTCCATTTGTTACAGTCCTTAGCACTCCCTTTTGTATCCCCCAACTTATACCTGGCCCACATCACTCACTCATACCCCCTGCCTCACACTCTGTGATCATTTGAATTTGTGAGTCCTGCACTAAATGACCTTCAGTCCAGGGATAACAAAGGCCAGACACCAGTCAAGAAATACTCCCTGATTTCAAATCCCTGCTTTGCCCCTCACTGAGTGATCTTGAGCACCTCTCAGACCCTCAGTCTCTTCTTCAGTAAAGTGAGGGGTCTAATAAATACCCAAGGAAAGGAAGTCAAAAGGCATTGAAAAGCTTGTGCATAAAGGTGAGACCTGCTGAAAAGGAGAGAGTCCACAAGGGGTGCTTGCAGGCTAAACACCTTGGCTCAGAATCCTGGGGTAAGCAGCTAGAACAGAAGCAAGCCAACATCAGGCCAGAACTAACCTTCAGCTGTTTCTTCTCCCACTCCAGTTTTACAGATAGAAACACTGAGGCTCAGAGGGGAGAGGACAGCAAGCATTTGAACCTTGCTCTTCTGGTTCCCAGGCCAGGTTCTATCCACTAAACCAAGCTGCCCACTCCCTTCCTCCCTCCCTCCCTACTCCTTCCTTCTCTTCCTTCCTCCTTCCCTCTCTTCCTTTCTTCCAAAATGTTTCTACCGCTATGCACTGGGCTCTTCACTCAGTCTTTG